AGCGGGGGGGGGGGGGGGGGGGGGGGGGGGGGGGGGGGGGGGGGGAAGTCATATACATTTTTTTTTCCAGATTTCCTAGCAAATAATTTAATCCAGTATACTAAACTAAGGAAGTTAATGGGATAATTAGGGATATGACTAAGCTATCACCATACTGCAATTAGAATTAATGAATGTTGATATAGTTTTGTGATTACACGTGCTTTAATAAATTAAGCTGGAAGGGATATGAATAACAAGATAATGTCATCCATGATTTAAAATGTTTCCACAGCCATGACAGACAACATTACCTCAGAGAAAAGCAACCTGCCTTCTGTTCTGACAGTATAAAAATAAGCCCAGTCTATATTTAAAGGGCTCTTCAGGTACATTTCACTTCATCTTCTAGACTCACACAATGTTGCACAAAGGTTACCAACACTTCTTCGAGCTCTGTTAAAATAGTTAAAATGCAGTCGAAACAGGAGATACTACACCTCACCTCTCAGTCTTGCCGATGGCTTTTCTTGGTTTGAGATTTATGATTTGCCTGTGGCAACAGGGAGGAGGTGTTTGCCTTTGAATGTGTTTGTGTTGTGCTGAGTGTGGGTTCAAGGATTATGAATCTGATGAAGGCTTTGCTCAAGGCTTTGAAAGAACTTCTCCAGCTCGGGTGTGTCTCAGTGAATGGATGACGCATTGATGGGTGTGAGGAAGCATCTTCTGAAAACTTCTCAGCTGTCAGCAATGTGCATAGCCAGACCTTTGACCAGACATCAAACGGTCTGGCCCATACTGCAGTTTATTCTAGCCAGGAAGTCAGTCCATGATGACAGACTCCTGGCATGACGTCTGAAGCTGAGGCTAGCAAAGTACAGTCTAAAAGAACAGCGTTTTTATTGTTAACAAAAAACATAAAAAATAGTTTTCAGTAATTTAAATTAAGCTGAAATTTTTTTGTATTATATTATATTTATTATAAGCTTAAAAAACTTCAACTTATTCATTCCAGGCAACACTTCTAATTTTTGTTGAAGTACTAAAATTGCAAAAACTAAAACTGAAATTAAAATTAAGATAAACAGAAAATTGAAAACAAATACAAAAACACATAACCAAAATTACTACAACTTAAACTAAAAGTAAAATTTAAACTGAAAATGTAAAAAGAAAAGGCAATTAAATATATTACATAACACTGTTAAGTAAAGTGATGCTATTAAGACATTAATGACTATTAATGACAATAACAACTGTAAACAACTATGAAGTATATGTCAAGTATACAAAAAGCTCAAGTGTAATGTGAAAATCAGCCTACCCATTGTAACTCAAAATCAAAACTTCATAAGCAAAAAAATCCAAACAAGTGCAGAGACATCAGAGCACACAGAGAGTTGCACCTACATCAGAGTTTGTGTAATATAGTCTGCCTGTTACAGCGTCTTCATCAGACATGCTGATAATCCAGGCTGTTGCTTTGTACCACATTCACTCATCTCCTGATCTCTAATGAGTAATCTTATTAGAAGGCTTGTTACAGCTGATAAAGGCACGTTCCCACAATGCAGCGACATCAAACCACGGTGTCACGGCCCTAATCTACAGCCGCATCTGTGCTCATTATTCTAGAATGTTCTGCATGTTCGGCGCGTAAGATCATCAGCCATCGCCCTGATAATGAGCCCTAATTGGATATTTTCAAAGGGCTTAAGGACAGGAAAGGAAAGTAAAGCCTGAAATTATTCACACTATAAGAGGGTCTGGTTCCTGGTGCAATATCAAAATGCCCTTTAATGGATTTTAATTCAGCAGTAGATTTTATAAACCTAATTCTGATATTGCAAGATGTACTTAAATTTAAAAATTAAATTTAAATCATTTGATACAACACACCTATTGTGTACATACATGATTTTACATATTTTTCCTAAAACCTATCCTAAACTCTTCATATATAATACCTATTGATAAGTACAATGTTAAAACATGTATGTACACAATAAGTGTGTATATGTAATATAGTGTGTGGTATCAAATGATATTCGAGTGTGATATATGTATACACACACATATATCTATATGTATATGCAGGGTGCGATTTGTGTAAAAAGCAAAAGGGGGGGGGGTGCATTTGAAAACTTTTTTATTGGTAAGTAGCCTACCATATAATGGGTGTCATGTCATAAAATGTTTTTAATACGACAGAAACTGTATAACGAGATCACAATCTATTAAAAACATTGTAAGTTAGGCCTATTAATTGTAATGATTTCATTTCCACGGTTATTCAAGCAACGAATAAATTATATAGAGAAAGCGAGCAAAGAACTCCGTATCAACGGAGCTTTTTGAAACTCCGAATCAGTTAAACCATTGAGTCGCAAAATGATTCACTGTTGCGAAGCACTCCAATCGGATCGCGTATCACGAATCATTTGATTCAGATCAGGACTTCAAAGCACGTATCGCGAATCATTTGATTCAGAACAAGACTTCAAAGCACGTGAATGTTTTGCGGGATGTTTTTTATCCCCACCGAGGATAAAAATAATTCAGCAGAGGCAGGGATGCATAAACCAGAGGGGTTTATATACAGGTGCATCTCAATAAATTAGAATGTCGTGGAAAAGTTCATTTATTTCAGTAATTCAACTCAAATTGTGAAACTCGTGTATTAAATAAATTCAATGCACACAGACTGAAGTAGTTTAAGTCTTTGGTTCTTTTAATTGTGATTATTTTGGCTCACATTTAACAAAAACCCACCAATTCACTATCTCAACAAATTAGAATATGGTGACATGCCAATCAGCTAATCAACTCAAAACACCTGCAAAGGTTTCCTGAGCCTTCAAAATGGTCTCTCAGTTTGGTTCACTAGGCTACACAATCATGGGGAAGACTGCTGATCTGACAGTTGTCCAGAAGACAATCATTGACACCCTTCACAAGGAGGGTAAGCCACAAACATGAATTGCCAAAGAAGCTGGCTGTTCACAGAGTGCTGTATCCAAGCATGTTAACAGAAAGTTGAGTGGAAGGAAAAAGTGTGGAAGAAAAAGATGCACAACCAACCGAGAGAACCGCAGCCTTATGAGGATTGTCAAGCAAAATAAGCCATACTCATAGCCCAAGTTGCTTGAAGTCCAGTGTTAAGTTTCCAAAGTCTGTGATGATTTGGGGTGCAATGTCATCTGCTGGTGTTGGTCCATTGTGTTTTTTGAAAACCAACGTCACTGCACCCGTTTACCAAGAAATTTTGGAGCATGAAAAGTATGAAACAATGCAATGTCTTGCAAAAGGCATCAAAACAAACGATATTTTGTGAAAAGCAAATAAAATTAATTTAACTGTGACTTAGAGCACAGAAGATCTTGGTCAGATAAAGATTTAAGGAAAGTTTCTTTCAAACAAATTAATTGTATTGTAATGCCAGCTCAAGATCCTCTCCATGCAGACTGGCAGTTGTGTGTAAAGCTGCGTTTCAGTCACTGCTAACCAAACCTCACAAAGAGAAACCTGCACAATGGCTGTAGAAACACATGAAGACTTGTTTTTAAATAGTTTTATTCACTTACGAATGCTGCAGTACAATGGATGGTCCAGATAAATGGATTTCTGATATTTGATGAATGGCCATGCTATTCCAATGAGACTGCAACATCAGCAAGGAGGCGGTGGGTGATGATTTAGGTTGGAATATTGGGAATTGAGATGTAAAGTCATTTTAGGGTGTCAAAATGACTTCTGCAAGTTATGTGGAGTTCATAACTGACCATTTTCTGCTGTGGTATAACAACACACTATCCTGCAACAACATATCCTATGCTGCATAATTACCATGGTGCTAAACAGTTTGAAAATGTGTTTCTACAGCCACTGTGCAGATTTCTCTTTGTGAGGTTTGGTTAGCAGTGACTGAAACGCAGCTTTACACACAACTGCCAGTCTGCATGTAGAGGATCTTGAGACTCCAGTAGCTTCAAACACCTGTCTGCTGCTCAGCAGTGGCTTTTATACAGCTGGCATTACAATACAGTTCATTTGTTTGACAGAAACTTTCCTTAATAAATCTTTATCTGACCAAGATCTTTTGTGCTCCAAGTCACTCACAAATCTTTTCACAGTTCAATAATCTCTATTTGCTTTTCGCAAAATATTATTTGTTTTGATGCCTTTTGCAAGACATTGCATTGTTTCATACTTTTCATCTTCAGAAAGATCTTTCTTCCTCATGTGGATGTATGTAGCCTATGTAGAGATATGTATACATATACTTTTATACAACAGTTTGTTCTGGTTCTTGAATCTGATTGGCTGAGAGCCTTTTCCAGCGGTGCGATATTCAAGAAGTATCAGCACTCTAACCATTTCACTGTTCACTCTTGTTGTTGGATGTACTGTATACTGGCAGCATTTGAGCGTCAATGGTGGAAGAGCGCTGCTTTTCTTTTGACCGAATTGTTTGCTTGTGTTTATTCCTATTATTATACTTTTATAATGACTAGCGTTGTTCATTTATATATTATTGTTCAATAAATAATATTTGATAGAAATAATATGCCATATCTGGTATTGAGAAAGGGTCTGTTAGTGATTACGATTTCATCTTCAGAGAAAGTTACATTATTTCCACTGTCTTAATGAGTGAGTAGCAATGACTTTTATATTGAAAGGGACTGAAACAAGGATGTTATTATTACTTTAAACAGACTTATAAGATGCAACCATAGTCCCCTTGACTGTTATAAGTACAAACACAAAGATATCGCTTTACTCAGTGGACATTCAAATTGATTTTGTGATTACGGATATAAGATTGACCTGAAGAATGAATGCTGGTATCAGTAATAAGACTTACTCAGGTGATCTCTCTCTCATAATACTCTACTCCACATAATACAATGACCTTCAATACGGCAACTCAACGTTCCTTTGTAACTAGTTCTAAAGTGACGCTTTAGAATTAGTGATGGAGGAAGGAAGTAGTTCCGCACAAAAGAGGGTTTTTAAAGACACTCCATCACTTTTTTATTTACACACTTGTGTTTTCAAACTGTTGAATAAACGTAATGTCACACTCGTAGCCGTGAAATATGGCTGTATATCAGCACACTGTGATTACTCCTGTTATTTACTCAAGACTACTTGTGTGATATTGCTCATATATTAAAACAGTATGATTTTTGTAAGGAATTACTATTTTAAATACTATTTTAAGAATTAATTAAAATGATTAACAAAAAGATGTTACAAAAGATTTCAATTTAAATAAAAACAATGGTCTTTTGAAATTTTTATGCATCAAAGATTCCTGAAATTAATGTATAATGATTTCCACGAAAATGTTAAGCAAGACATGTTTCTTGAGCATCAAATCATTAAATCAGAATGTTTTCTGAAGGAAAATCATCTGAAACTAAAGACTGGAGGAATGGCTGCTGAAAATTCAGCTTTTTTCTTAAAAAAGGACATTACTGTTTTTTCTATCTATTTCTAAAATCAGTCTATAATAAATCTATAATTTTTGTACTCCATGTGTCAACCACCTGAGGAAATCCCAAACTCCTGTAAGCAATTTCAGCACGGGTGAGGTAGAGGTACTCTATACTGATAAGACCATCTGATCAGATCCTTTATCGCAGTGACTTTCAAATTTATTGGAGCGATGCCAATGTCAGAAACAAGCCTCTGACCAACACTCCACAGAGAGCACATCATAATATCATCTGCCACAACACAAATAAACAGACTGTGCTCACGTTTACACCTTTAACCTGAGCTACTGTCAGCTCCAAAAGTATCACACAGCACTCGCTCTGGAACACAGACGACCCCTGCTAACTAAATAATTAGACTCCGAGTTTCTTTCACGGCATGAACCCTTGAGCCAGAGCTCTTGCTGTCAGAGGAACTTCTCATGAGGGGTGCTGTGCAAATAAATTACGCAGGTAATGAATAGAGCTATCCTTGAGCCTAGAATGAACCGAGGATGCATGTTAAACAGAATGGACCCAATGTGCCTCTTAATTTACTGATTTATAAGCGTGATCAAAATGAAGTTATTAATCAGGATAAATTAAATAAAACATGGAGAAATTTAAAATGAAGCATGGAAATTTCAATTACCTTGTGAAAGCTTCTGAAGTAAGCGGCTTTTTCATCTGGATATTTCTCTAATCGCCGTGGTCCTTTACTGGACGCCTTCTTGAATACAAGCCAGCATCTTCTGAAGATCTGTTACAGAAAGAAACATACTTATGTACTTTAATGTTTAATGTTTTGGACAAAATAATCATCAAAAATTCTAATAAAAAAAATCGAATGTAATAAAATCAAAAAGAAATTGCAATTAATCACAATCTATATTTGAAAAAAGATTTTACAAATCGTGTATATGTATTATCTTATATATAAGATATATATATATATATATATATATATATATATATATATAGCATGATAATTATATCATACTAAAATTGTATTTATTAAATATATTTTAAATATATAATACAAATCAAATATAATATATATATATATGAAATACATGCTGCTTAATTAATCAAATTAAATTGCAGTTAATCAATCTATATATGAAGATAAACTAGATTTTGAAAAAATCTTCTAATGTAATATATATTTATGAATATTAAATTAGAATATTAAATATTAAAATAGAACATATATAGATATATAATGAAAAAGTAAAAATACATTTTATTTTAAAGAAAATTAAGACAATTCCACAAAAATAATACCAGGCATTATTGACAACATCTACCAGCTTGCATACAATATAGAAATCAATTCCATAAAAAGGATTTTTAGACAATAAAACACTTTGCCTATATTTCTGTTGTAACACAATGTACCGTTGAGCCATAAAACACATGAAAAGACCTCTAGATCTCAGTGCCACTCTCATTTCAATGTCCATTTGTCTGAGTTTGCCCCCTGCGTACTATTTCAAGAAATAAAGGCCTGAAATAAACATTCCTCCCAGCAACATCTGAGACTTTCACAGATTAAACACTTACATTCCCCTGACAGCCTTTCAAGGTCAATGGAAAAGAGAGAGTGTGAGAGAATGTGCACAATCTCTCTATAAATTTTTTTTTAAAAACACAGTCCACAAACACACACACACACACATACTTATTTTCAATCCATTACCCCCCTGACACTTGTGTTTATTATCTTACACTGCCCAAAAACAGACAGTTCTCACCCCAAATGGAATCAATAACCCAGCAGTGCCATAATTAACAAATGAGGATTGAATGGCCTTTTATCAGCGGGACTATCCCCATCTGTTATATATTTCTGATTTATTTGCATAATAAAACATCATGCGTTAAAGAATGGCAGACGAATCTTCTAATGTAGCTGACCATTTTGTGATGGATATTTACTGAGGCTTAAGAGTCCACCTGTATCAGTGCCACCATTTATTATCGTAATATAGAACTTTAATGGTACATTGAGTCTGGTTTTCAAAAAGAAATTCTGCTCACCTATATTCTGTGTCGGGCCGGGGAGCGAAATGCCACCCGAGCACACTTAAAAACATATGACCCAGCATGCTTTTAAGGTTAGGTGGATTAATTTACAGAAGGGATACTCCATATCCTGCTGCAGGCAGCCAGTGCTCATTTGTTGATGTATGAGTAGTCCTGTCGGGATTCATATCCATGGGCAAGATTAATTTGTTTACTCCACTGATGTAGTGTATGGAAAAAGAACAATGCTTAATTTGGCATTCAACATAATCGATCTGGGTGAATTCCAGTACGCACGCCTGGTGCTCCTGATACCTGCTATATGTGTCGAGCCAAAAGGTTACACGCAAAATAGCTCCATTTCATCCACATTGTTAAAAATGGGAAAATCTGAAATAATGAAACTCTGCACGCATGCCATCTGTTATCAAATGTGGTTATGAAGATGATTTGAGATTTGCAAGCACGGTACCATGCAAGCCTTTGCCAGACTGTTGTGATGGACAAGGCTGCTTATTCAAACATGCGCCCTCTGACATGTATAAGGCAATTCAATACTTTTCATTTTTATTTATGTTTTGCTACAGCATAAGCTAACTATAATCTCATCTTTTTATTGATTTTGGTCGAGGAATTCAATTTTATTTAGGTCAAGCAGAGCCAGCAAGAAAAAAACATTTCAAATAAATCATTTCGAGAGTATGACATACAGCTGCCTCTTGACCTTCTACTAAAGAAGCAAACTTTCTCACACTAATGAAAGACTTTTAGCTGAACCCTAGAAAGCAGGCAAGCAGATGAGACAAGGCCCTTCAAACTGAATTTCTGAGTCAAATAGATTTTTGAAGTTCCAAAAAACAAACAAATAAATAAAAGTTGCATGATCATTTTAGGTAAACAGGTTTAACGTGATTCATAATTGTTGGTAAAAAAAAAGGTCTAACAATAGTAAGAAAATAATATTTCAGTCTTTCTACTTCAAATTCAGAGTGTTACTTGCCATTTATTCATAATTATTTGTGAAATTTACTAGCAAATTGCTAGTAATTAATTGCTAGAAGTTTGGAGCGACGTCCTGATCCAGGGAGGGTCTGTGTTGTGCCAAATACCTTCCATTTCTTAATAATAGACTTCACTGTGCTTCTAGGCATTGATAAAGCCTTTGAATTATCCATCTCCTGATTTGTGCCTGTCCACAACTGGCAGTGTCATTTATTCCACATAGTTGATTGTTTGCTTCAGCTGCACTACCAAGGACCGAAATGCTCCAGTAAAAGCTCTTTTCATGCTGAACTAATCAAAATGACCACCACTGATCACAGTTGAAAGTCAAATGGCTTTGTGTGATTAGCTACACCTGATTGAGTTTACAAGTCATTTTTAGGAGGGGGGTGATCCTTTTTCCAACAGTGATTTTTTATTTTGTTGGCATTATATGTTTCACTTGGATGTTATAAGTTGCACTGAGTAAATACAGCTGGATAAGACAAAACCTGTGTCCGTCTTCATTTCAGGCTGCAAAGCAACAAAATGTGCTTATTTTAAAGGGGGCTGATTCTTTTCTATGTCCACTGTAAGACCAAGTTAAAACTTACTGTACTTGAAACTTAACTATGAACTTTATTATGTCTCCTGAGTAATAAAACTTTCCTCTGGGTTGATCTGTATCAATGGTTTGACCATGTAGCCAATGCTACAATATATTTTATTGTGTACTTCCCTATCTTTCAGTTTCACAACAATATGAAAAGTCAAACAAACTATTCAGAACAGGAACATCTAAAGATTTCCCACACTTGCCTCACAATGCCTGAACACAGCCAGAGTGTTTGCAAACCTGAACTAGTCCTAGATCTCACTCTCTATATGAATAATTAACATTTTAGATAAAAAAATGATGTAGGTAGTTTGTTTTTTCACATTGCAAGTAGTTCTGAAATCATGCCAATATTTATGTTCATCCAAACACTTTTCAGTTGAATTGACTGATTTTTTTTCCCTAAAAAGCTGCTGATTTTCTGCCACAATCTAAATAGGCGCCCACTGATATTTTTATTTTATTTTTTTAAAGGTTGACACGGGTAAATGAATGTAACTTGAGTGTGTAATATCTTTATATAAATGCTAATTCTGATCATGGCATTTAGTACTTTTCATGGTATTATCCCCAAATGTCACATTGCAAGTAGTTCTGAAATCATGCCAATATTTATGTTCATCCAAACACTTTTCAGTTGAATTGACTGATTTTTTTTCCCTAAAAAGCTGCTGATTTTCTGCCACAATCTAAATAGGCGCCCACTGATATTTTTATTTTATTTTTTTTAAAGGTTGACACGGGTAAATTAATGCAACTTGAGTGTGTAATATCTTTATATAAATGCTAATTCTGATCATGGCATTTAGTACTTTTCATGGTATTATCCCCAAATAAACACACTACTCTTACCCAATTTTCACTGCAACCATGGCCAAAGTCATCAAGCCTAACTATGACTGACATAAATGAATTTGCAATCAGCCTCCCTCTTTCTCCATCACTTAGTGCAGCTCAATCGACTGCAGGAGTTATGGGCGGACAGTATCTCTGCGAGCTCTCTGATTGCATACTGAAATTTCAAAGGCTGATTAATGAACAAACCTTCCGTCTCTGGAGTGGATTGTTTAATTATGAATCAGGACACAATGTACTCTCCAAACCATCAAAATTATACATACACACACACAAGGGCTCTTCAGTGGAAACAAAGCCAGATAAATTTAACCACTTCATTAAGAACCAGCCATAAATAGTTTACAAAAAATTCTGCAGAGTTTGATAAGGATTGATGCATGTCATATATATTGTTTAATATAGACTTAACTTCCAGTAGATATTTTTAGAGGATTCTCCAAGAACAAACACTGCTCAAATTACTAGGAAGTTGAAATAAGCCAAAAGGGCTTTTTATGTTATGGCTGAATTGTGCAACAGGACAGCGTTCATCCCAAAAACTTTGAAATGAACAAAATATGCATTTTCATATGATGTGTTCACACTACAAAAGATATCTATCTATATAACATTATATGTAATGATTAGGTTTAGAGAGGGATTAGTTGCTCAAAACATATATACAATAGTAAAAAGTAACTAAACAAATATGTTTATATGATACTACAGATATGGTCCTTGAATACCGAACAGAATTGGGGCTTTGCGTTTGAGAGAGACTATCCTAATGAGCGAATCATTCATTCAACCGAGTTTGTTCAAAGCCACTGATTCATTCAGAAAAGAAACAAGTGAGTGTCTTAAGGAGTGAATAATTGAATAATTCATTCAATAGATTTGTTCAAAGCAACCGATTCATTCATACAAGAAACAAGGGACTGCCTATCTAAGTGAGTCACTGAATCATTCATTCAATCATTTGCTCGAAGCCATAGATTCATTCAAAGACCAAATAAGTGACCATCTTAAGGAGTGAGTCATTAAACCATTCATTCAGCCGATTCAATCAAATACACAGATTCATTCAGAAACTAAACAAGTGACTGTGTTAATGAGCGAGGCATTGAATCCTTCGTTCAACACATTTGTTCAAAGCAACCAGTTCGGACATAAAACAAGTGACTGTTTTCTGAGTGAATCTTTGAATCATTTATTCCACAAAAGGGTTCAAGAATCAAACCTGTTAAGCATGTATGTAAAGTGTAAATGTAGCCATAAAAATATTAAATGAATCAAGAGAA